CTGAGCAGTGTGACATAGACAAAGGCAAGGTGGCAGCCCTATAAGGCTGTGACCATGCAGCCTTGGGGGAGGGGCACAGGCTCTCTGAGCTCCATGAGCTGGTGCCTGCTTTTTGGCTGGTGGTTGTAACCCATGGTTACCAAGAACTTGCTCCATGTCCCACACAGTGCTAAGGGCTTTTATCATAATTATCTCATTTGGTCTGCACAACCACCCAGAAACATGGGCACTACCATTATCTCTTTTTTTACAGATGGGGAAACTGAGGCTTGGAAAGGTGAAGTAACTTGTCCAATGACACAAAGCTGGTAAGTGATGGAACCAGAAGTCAGATCAGGTGAACTGGGCTCCCAACCTCTTTGTGCACTCACCCTCCAGAGAGTAAAGCCATGTTCCCACTCAACCAGAGTGTGGCTACCCAGAGCTGATGCCAAGCAGGCCAGCTCCCAGCAACCTGGGTGAGGGTACATGGTCCTGTCTCATCTGGTTGTCTAATCTGGATAGAAGCCATGAAGAAAGATATGGTAGAACTTCACTGGGCACAGGCTGGGCCTCAAGCCGACCCTTACTTAGTCAGCAGGGCCAGGGTATGATCAAAAACACAGAGTCTCCAAAATCTGGACTGAGAAGGCCAAATCTTTCCCACCTAGTGAAAGGGGATATTTTCAAACTGATGTGCTATTGTGAGAAGGTTACCACCACTGTTTAGTAGACAGAGATGTTCTGGATGGTTGTGCAAGTTTTCCACAGCACAAAGCTGCATGGAAAGGCTGAAATTCAGTGTGTTGTCCAGTTACCAGATTCTAGTATGGGGACACATCTGTCCAGAGGAAGACAGGCTTTTTTTTTTTCTGATTTGCACAAAGATGACTTATGAGCTAGCAGTCACCAGGCACCCTGAGACTGCAGTATATGTGGAAAAACTGGGGATTTGGCTAAGGCTCCTGAAAGCGGGAGCAACCTCAGGTATCTGGGCTGTTCTTATTCATAGTGCTGAGCACAGGGAACCTGTTGGATCGCCACCTGTATGTACATATCCATATGTACATATGCAGGCTGATCAGCATGTATACTGCACGTGCCATTGCCCTAGCCACAAGAGCACCAACTGGTGCTGACACACCAGGCATCTGACCCAAGACCCCAGCGGGAGCAGGACTGAGGATGGGGCTGGATGCCCTCCCCGCAGAAATGTTTGCCTGCTTCCTAAGACAAGAGTCAATGTTGCCCATCTAGACACTCAGTCTTGACTACATGATGCCAAGCCCAGAGGCCTCCAGAGGTCTGTGCCCAGAATCGGGGGGCTCATTAGACTCCTGTGTACCCCACCTGATATCCCCTCAGCCCACTTTTCCTTCTACCATTACCACATAGCCAGCTTCCTGCCGGTGACACCTGACAGCCCCTGGCCTCAGCTGCTCTATATAACACAGCTCACCCAGGAGACCCTGCTGGTACTCACAAATTTGCAAAACCTGGATGTGCCTGGGAGCTGACCCCAAGGGACATTGTGGGAGGCAGGAGCCCATAAATAAACATCCCATCCAAGGGTCAAGCTGCCCCTTGGGTGATAGTTTGGAGGACTACTCTACATGGCTCCTTGGAAGGTTCCAGCAGGATCAAACCCCAGTTGTCCATAGAAGTGATCAGGCATTGATGAAACCTGTGCTGGTTTCCCTCCTTTCCTGTTTCATTCTCCCCACTCCCTCACCCACCTCTGGAATCTTCCAGAATGCAGCACTTGCATACAAGCCTTTGTGCTCTTTGCAGAGAAGTAGAGAGGATGGAGCAGGGAGTGGGCCTTGCTGCTCCTCACAGCTCCTTTCCCTGCTCCTTCCTGGCGGGCTGGAGGCATAGTAACAGTGGTGGGCACACAGAGCCATTTCCTGTGTGCCAGGCAAGGGGCAAAGCCCTTGATTTGCATCATTTTGTTACTTCCTTCCAAAGCCCTATGCACTGTAGGCCACTGTTAACCTTCATTTTGCAAAGAAACTGAGGCTCAGAGAGGTCAAGTAACCTGGCCAATGCTGCATAGTGGTAGAGCAAAGATTAAAGCTCATCTCTGACTCCAAAGCCATGACTTTAACCACTCCCGATTCTGTCTCCAGGTGAACACCAACTTGGCACCATGGCAGGGCTGGGAGCCTGTGGCCTGACTAGAGCTGCCTTGATCATCCTGCTGCTCCCTGGGAGTGAGTATGGCAAGGGGAGGGGGCAGGGTGGTGGGGAATCCAGGGAGAGATTCTGAGAGTGGAAGAGGGAATCGATTCCCCACATGGCACGTTGCCCGGACTTCCCAGAAAATCCCAAGGGCTCAGAGTGAACTTGAGGTGAGGAAGCTGGTGCTACCTACAGACCCCCACCAGAGGAATGGTGACATAAGCAGGGCTGCGCCTATCTGCACATCTCTGCTAGGCTGTCGGAAGGAACCTCTGGGTGCTGTGCAGACTTGGTGGACAGCAAAGGAATCTAGTAGAAGCCACAATGATGGAGTGGGTGGTAAGGGAGGGGATGGGGGCAGGGGGGAGAAATGACCCAAACATTGTATGCACATATGAATAATAAAAAAAAAAATTAAAAAATAAAAATAAAAGAAGCCTCAATGAGACAGATTTCCTCCTGAAGCGAGGAACACAGGCAGCACTCTGGACCACAGAGATGCTGTCTTAAGAGACAGAGAACCTCCCCAGGCTATGCAGGCTGAGGCCAAGACTGACAGGGGTCCACAAAGTTTGACAGTTTAGGCTTTTTGGACCACATACAATCTCTGTTGTTCTAATTTGCTGTTTCTTTGTTTTTATTCCTTTAAAAATATATAAAGCATTTTCTCTCTGAGTGGGGATTGAACCCAGGGCTTTGCACTTACTAGGCAAATACTCTACCGCCTGAGCTACACCTCCAGTCCAAAATGCCTTCTTAGCTAAACAACCCCACAAAAACAGGCCACCCAACCCCAGCTGCAGAGGACACAACTTCAGGTGGAGTTTTGATGAAAACTGCTTTGTGAAGTTCCCTCCAGCTTGAAATTCTGAGTTGTGAAGCAGCAGAGCCCAGGCTGAGAAGCCTGAACTTGTTCTGTCACCATGGGCAGATCACTTCTCCATGGGACCTCCGCATCCCTATCTAAATGGGCCTAAGAGTACCTGAGACCGAGCCTGCACACACCTGTAATCCTAGCTACTCAGGAGGCAGAGATCAGGAGGATCACGGTTCAAAGCCAGCCCAGGCAGATAGTTTGAGAGATCACAGGACAAAAGGCATTGTGGGCCAAGTGCATGTTTACTCACTTTTGTTTTTTTGGGTTTTTTGCAGTGCTTGGATTTGAATTCAGGGTCTTCACCTTGAGCCACTCCACCAGCCCTATTTTGTGTGATGGGTCTTTTTCAAGATAGGGTCTCCCGAACTGTTTGCCTGGGCTGGCTTCGAACCACGATCCTCCTAATCTCTGCCTCTTGAGTAGCTAGGATTATAGGTGTGAGCCACCGGTGCCTGGCTTTTACTCACTTATTTATTCAAGAAACAACCAGGCATGGTGATTCACACCTATAATCACAGCACTCAGGAATAAGAGGCAGAAGAATAGAGAGTTCAAGGTACATAGTGTGACCCTGTCTCTAAAAACCAAAAAGAAAAAAGAAAAGAACTCCCTAGGGCCTACTCTGTGCCAGGCCCTGGGAGCCTAGCAGTAAGCAAAATAGCCAAGGCTTCTGGCCTCACAGTACTTAAGAACCTAGGTGAGGAGACAGATAAGCAAATAACTGTGACTCCATAATTAGGAGGAAACATCGGAGTTTTCAGACAGGAGCTTGATCTGGCCTAGCTGGTTAGGGCATAGTCTGGTTCCCCAAAATGTCTAAAGGTTAGCCAGGTGAGAGAGGGGTGAGAGAGAGGGAAACGAGCATCTCAAAGGGGAAAGGCAGGTGCAAAGGTCCAGAGGCTGGAGAGACTGGAGTTTCTAAAGAACAAGAACAGGCTGAGTGGCTGCAGAGGAGACATGGTCCAGGCCACAGGGCTGGGTGAAGGATCCGGTCTTTATCCTAACTGCAGCAGCAGGCGCTCCTGCCAACCACTGTTCTGAGTGCCTTATGCGGGTTATCGCGTCTATTCTTCTAGCGATATTAAGGTAGAGCCTATTCTCCGCATTTGACAATGAGAAAACGCAAGGCACAGAAAGTCCCAGTAAGAGATACCAGGGTCACATAATTAGTAGGCAATGATTCAGGATTTAAACCTGGGATGTCTAGAGCCAATGTCCAGGCTCTCACCCATCACACTGCACTGCCTCTCCGAGCAACCGTGTACCCTTTGAGTGTCAAGATCCACAGGAGGTTCCACAATCAGATCTGAATTTTGAAAAGATTTCTGTGGCTGTGCGGTTCTTCTCGTGTGACCATTGCTTTCTCCATCTTGGGAGAGGGCATGGGGAAGAGACCAGTCTCTCTCTGGTGGGGAGTTGGAGCTAACTTGCAGGACCTGACATCTCTCAGCTCTGCATTCAGTGGACACACACTGCTAGCTTGACATCAGCCGTGATGGGAGCATTTACACCAGGGGAAACAGAGCGCACTACACATCAGGGGCTTTTCTCTCAGAAGAGCCGTTGAATAACAATTTGCAAGAAAATTGCTACTTCGATCTCACTCCTTGTAGCTTCTTGCAGTCCGCATAACCTCCTTCCTATTCTAGTCCCCTAGTGGTGAAGGGTGAGGCAGGCAGGTGAGGGCCCCTGGTCTAGGAAGACAAAGGCCCAGACCCAGCCCAGATCTGTCCAAAACAGCAGTCCTCCAAGGTCCATCCTCTTCCACCCCAGGCCTAGAGAAATGCGGGCACATCAGGATCTCAGCCCCCATTGTCCACTTGGGAGGCCCCGTCACAGCCTCCTGCACCATCAGTCAGAACTGCAGCCACCTGGACCTGGAGCCACAGATCCTCTGGAGACTGGGAGAAGAGCCAGAGCAGCCTGGGGACAGGCAGCAGCGCCTGCCAGACGGGACCCAAGAATCTACCATCACCCTGCTCCACTTCAACCACACTCAGGCCTTTCTCTTCTGCTGCCTGCAATGGGGCAACCGCCCACAGATCCTGGACCAAGCTGAGCTACGGGCAGGCTGTAAGTCCCCCCGGCCATCCACCCACTCTGCATCAGATGCCCTCATGCCAACACCAGGAAGAGCAATGCCTGCTGAGCTCCTGCTCAGTTTGTACTTACAGTCATAAGGGAATGGTCCCCACCAGTGTGTACTACTGTTTGGCCTCATTTTGCAGGTGAGAAAACTGACATTGAGAGAGGGCAAGTGACTTGCTGAAGGTCACACACGAAGAAGAATATAGCCAAAATTTCTATCAGGCCATGTGGTTCCAGCACCAGTGTGGAAACCATCCTCTGTGTGGCTGCTGAGCAAGCCCAGCTCCTCAGTCACAGGAAGGGCTCCATGAAGGACAGCCTCTACCAGGCTTGCCCTCAGCTCCTCCCCATGCCAGTCCCAGCATTCTTTGCAAACTGAGCAGTATGGAGGTTGTGCCAAGCTGAAGCATAACGAGCAAACAGGGACCATGGTTCTTGTTTAAGAATCAGTCATAGGCTGGGTTTGGTGGTACACACCTGTAGTCCCAGCTATGTGGGAGGTGAAGGTAGGAGGATCAGAGACTGAGGACAGCCTGGGCAAAAATGCAAGACCCTACCTGAACAACAAACTAAAAGCTAAAGGACTGGGGTCACGGCTTAAGTGGTAGAGCACTTTCCTAGCAAGCACCAGCCAAGTGAGGCCTGAGTTCTATCCCCAGTACTGCAAAAAACCCTGGCAAAACCCCAGGAGACAGGTGCATTACCATTATCCCACTTTGCAGGTGAGGAAACTGAGGCAAAGAGCAGTTAAGTAACTTCAAGATCACATGGCTAATGAATGGCAGGGCAGAATGAAAACCCAGACAATACTGTCACAGACAAAGGGGTCTGGAATGAAGGGTGGAGGTGGGGAACCATCAGGATACTGGGAATCTGTGATGCTTGCCCCTGTATGCACCTGAAACTTGACCCCTCCAGGGTCACACTGCATGAAGACAAGGGGATGGACAAGGTGACCCCGAAGGGACCAGCCCAGAGCAAGTAAGCAAGGCCATTAGGCCCTGTGGGAAATCTCTGGGTGTCACATGCAAAGCCCTCACATTCTTCCCCCTCCCCTTACAGACCCACCCACCGTACCCTCCAACCTGTCCTGCATCATGAACCTCACCACCAACAGCCTCACCTGCCAGTGGGATCCAGGGCCTGACACCCACTTGCCCACCAACTTTACTCTAAAGAGCTTCAAGTGAGTAGAGACCCCCGCCTCAGCCTCCTTCCTTTGGGTCCGGGACTGTGGGGGCAGGGAGCCAGAGGCAAAGACGGGAGGGAGAAGGGAGTTTCCATTTCCTCCTCTGCGTGGTACCCAAGCCTGACCTGTTGGCAGGAGTCGGGGCGACTGCCAGACCCAGGAGGACTCCATCTTGGACTGCGTGCCTGAGAACGGGCAGAGCTACTGCTCCATCCCCCGCAAACACCTGCTTTTGTATCAGAACATGGTCATCTGGGTGCAGGCAGAGAATGCACTGGGGACCCGCCAGTCCACACAGCTGTGCCTTGATCCTATGGATGTCGGTGGGTGACACTACAGGGGAAGGGAGAGGCCCCCCAAATTGGCAAAGGCAGAGAGGCACAGAGAGGGAAACACAGCCCCAGCAGCGGACAAGGAGACGCGAGAAGACCTAGACAGAGGCAGCAAGAGTGCAACTGGAGACAGAGGCTGAAAAACATGCTCATTCATTTCTTTCTTCCAGCCAGTTTCTTGAAGGATCCGTGTGTGTGAAGCAGTGCTTGAGGCCCTGGAGATACAGGCATAAACAAAACATCAAAAGTCCTGCCCTCAGAAAGTTACGTTCTAGTGGGCAAAATAAATAAATAAAACAGAATGTCAGGTGACTAAGAAGGTGACAATTAAGTTGAACTTTGGAGGAACTGAGGGAATAAGTCAATGGATATCTGAAAGGAAAGTGTTCTAAGCAGAGATAACAACCGATGCAAAGGCCCTGAGGCAGAAGCACAAAACAGACCTAGAGAAAACCAGACACAGATACACAGAAACAGAACTGCAGAAACAAGGCAACATGAACAGAGATGAAAAGACACATGGGGATTGAGAGAGAGAGAGAGAGAGAGGATGGAGAAGGAAATGATGGAACCAGACATGGGGAAACGAGTAGGAGCTAGGGCAGAGCCCTAGGGTGGGGCAGGGAGAGGTTTGACAGCCCCACTTCTTGCAGTGAAACTGGAGCCCCCCACACTGTGGACCCTGGACCCCAGCTCTCAGGCGTCCCCACCCCATCCAGGCTGCCTCTGGTTGGGCTGGGAGCCGTGGAAGCCAAGTGTGTTTATGAATCAGGAGTGCGAACTGCGCCACCAGCCACAGCGGGGAGGAGCCAGCTGGGTACAGGTGAAACGGAGGGCAACTTCGAGGGTTGAGGTGGGGCAACGAGGGGAGGATAAGCTGGGCTCTAGCAGACTCAGAGTCATGCCCCCCAGGTGGCCCCGCTGCCATCCAGCGCCTACCAGTATGAGCTCTGCGGGTTCCCTCCGGCCACAGTCTACACCTTACAGATGAGGTGCATCCGCTCCCCGCTGCCTGGCCACTGGAGCAGCTGGAGCCCCAGCCTGGAGCTGAGAACCACTGAACAGGGTGAGTGGGTGATGAGGACCAGAAGCGGCCATCAGAACCCAGCTTGATCCCTGGGGCCCTCCCTGACAAGACCCTCTCCTCCCACTCCTTCCACAGCCCCTGTCATCAGACTGGACACATGGTGGCGGCAGAGACAATTGGACTCCAGGACAGTGGGCATACAGCTGTTTTGGAAGGTAACGCCCTCCCTCTATAGTCATCCTCCACCCCCAAAGACCTCCAGAGAGACCCCCACAGCTCGGGCTCAAGACTCCTGGGGGGCTTGGGTGCGCCTAACATGCGATTTGCGTGTACTTTGTATGTGCTTAGAAAACTGAATAGCGACCTTTTAGAAAGGCCACAAGGCAGGACTCACCTCTGCCCCAAAGGGTTGGTTCAGTACACAGCTAAGTAGTTGCTGTGTGCACAGACTGGCTTCTTCCTTCCCTCCCTCCTAGAACTTGGCACAAGGAAACAGAGGGAAGGACAGAGGAAGGGAGCAAGATGAGATGGCTTGTGGCTTGGGGGCTCAGTTCCTAGGACTGGTTCTCTGCCACTCACAAAGAGCTAGACAGCACCCTAACTGGTTTCCTCCTCACCTGTCACAGCCAACACCCCTAGAGGAAGGCAGTGGGCAGATCCAAGGGTACCTGCTCTCCTGGAGGCCTCCAGGCGGGCTGGGGCCAGCCGTGCCCCTCTGCAACACCACGGAGCTCAGCTGCACCTTCAACCTGCCCACAGGAGCTAAGGAAGTAACCCTCATGGCCTACAACACAGCTGGGACCTCTCATCCCACTCCGGTGGTCTTCTTGGAGAATGAAGGTAAAAGAGGTGGGCAGCCAGAAGATCAGGAAGGTTAGAAAGTAAATTCCGAGGCTATACTGCCTAGGTTCAAGTGTAGTCCTATCACTTGCTAACAGAATTACCAAGTAACTTCTTTGTCTACTCAAGATCCAGTAAATGAGAATAAAATAACCATGTCTTCTGATGGAGGTTGACACAAAGTAACTGCATGATCTAACTGTTATTATCATTAGCCAGAACCAGATGAAGCTGCTGGTAGTATTTAGACACACACGCACACACACACATACAGTAATAGCTAAGATTTTTACTTACAAGCTGTGTGACCGTTGATAAACTACTTAACCTCTCTGTGTCTCTCATTTTGATCATTGATCAAATAAAAATAATAGTAGTACCTTCCTGGTATGACTGTTAGAACACTCAGAGAATTGATACATATCGAGGACTATGTCCATTACATACCAGGAACCTCTCTAGAGGTCACTATTATGATCAAATGCCATCCTGTGCACTATGCCAGGCTTGTTCCATGCACCATCTCATCTCATCTGCACCAAGACCCTGTGAATCAGGAACTTTTGTCATCACTTCCACTTTACAAATAAGGAAACTGAGGCTGAGATGTTGACCCATTTTAGGTTACCAGTAGAAAAGTCAGGATTTGAACACAGGCTTCTGGCTTCCGAGCCTATATTCTTTGCACCTTCATTTCCCATTTCCCACTCTGTCTGCAGGCCCACCACTGACTGGACTCCATGTCAGGGCCCCAGACGCTCATAGTCTCTGGGTGGGCTGGAAACCCCCCAGCCCTCGGCCTCAGGGCTATGTGATTGAGTGGGGCCTGGGTCCCCCCAGCCCCAGCAACAGCAGTAAGACCTGGAGGATGGAACACAATGGAAGTGCCACAGGGACTCTGTTGCAAGGTAAGGCAGGCCTGGGAGGTGGGCATGGAGCAGGGAATGGGGAGGAAGGGGAGCAGGAGAGGCTGTGCTTGTAGCAAGAGGCAGCCTGAGATATAGGTTTCCTAGTCCTTCTTGGGTCTTTCTGTCGTTCTCATCTTGTATCCTTATAATCCGGAAATTCTTCCTGCAGTCTAATCTGCTCTCTTTCTCCAGCCCTGACCTTGCCATGCTTCTAACTCTCTCTCCCACTTCCTCACTAACCCCCATGAAATGATCTAAAGAAGAGATGGCGGAGATTAGCCCTGACCAAAGGTCAGGTTGGTTAGTTCCTGATCCACAGCAGAGGTTAGCCCCCAACCAGAGTGCCTACCCCATCTTCTCTCCACAGAGAACATCAGGCCCTTTCAGCTCTATGAGATCACTGTGGCTCCCCTGTACAAGGGCACCGTGGGACCCTCCCAGCACACCTACGCCTACTCCAAAGAGATGGGTCTGTCAGTCATCAGTCCGTTTCCAGAATCCTCTTCTCTCTCCCAGGGCCTCCCTGGGCCCCAGAGGAATAAGAGGGAACATTTCCTTCCACACCTAGTCTGGCCCTGGAGAGGGTCACTCCCAGTCCTAAAATTACCCCTGTCTTACATGTTTGCAGCTGGACAGAAGTTAGGTAGAAACTGGGCACTAAGTCTGAGAGAATTCAGGGAGCAAGTCTTATAAAATCAGTCAGAGGGCCCCAGTAGAAATCAGGTACACATCTGACAGAAATTGGATAGAAACTGGAGCAAACGCATCTGTCTAGCAAGCACAAAGCCCTGAGTTCAAACTCTGGTACTGCCAAAAAAAAAAAGAAGGAAAGAAATTTCTTTATGCCAAATGGAGACTCTGGCATAAATTCAGAGGGTGAATGGCAGAAATCAGATAATGAATCAGACAAAATCCTGCCTAACAGAAATTAGAAAGTGAAGATTTAAAGTCAAACAGAACTGGGTTCAAATCCAGGCTGTCACTTATTAGCAGAAGAAGGAACTGAGGTCAAATCCTTGGGGAGGCAGGGTGTGGCAGTGCACATCTGCAATTCAGAAGCTGAGGTAGAAGGATTGTGATTTCAAGGCTAGCCTGTACTACATAGTGAGACTTGGTCTCAAACAAACAAACAAAAGAAAATTTTTGACAAGATGAAGCTTGGATAGGCATCCCCTTGGACTCTTCCCCCCACCAAGACTTGCTATGTAGCCCACACTAGGCTTGAACTCAAGATCCTCCTGCCTCTGCCTCCCAAGTGCTGGGGTTACAGGAGTGAACCACTATACAGGTTTCTTGATTCTCGTTCTTCACCCACCCTCAGTGTGTCCCATTTCCTGAGTCCAAGGACCCACAGAACTCCCTGTCCTGCCCCACTTCCTCCAGCCCCTGTACCTCTCTCTTCCTGCAGGCCCTCCCCGTGCCCCAGAGCTGCTTCTAAAGCACATTGGCAAGACCTGGGCACAGCTGGAGTGGGTACCCAGGCCCCCTGAGCTGGGAAAAAGCCCCTTCACCCACTATACGATCTTCTGGACCAACTCTCAGGACCAGTCCTTCTGTAAGTCTATCCTCACCTCACCACAGCCCCAGAAGGCCCAGGAGGGGTGTCACCACCCCAGTCTAGGCTGACCACATGCCCCACCCCCAGCCACCATCCTGAATGCCTCCTCCCACGGCTTTGTCCTTCATGACCTGGAACCTGCCAGCTTGTATCATGTCCACCTCATGGCCACCAGCCAGGCCGGAGCCACCAACAGTACAGGCCTTACCCTGATGACCTTGACCCCAGGTAATAGGAGAGGGGGACTGGCAGAAATGGCTGTTGGGAGGATGCCCCACCCACAAGATCCTGATTTGGAGAGTAGATAGAACCCGCCTTTGGATCCTGTGGTCTGAGGGAGGAGATCAAGCTCCATCCATGAACCCCAGCCTGGGGAGGAGACCCAGCTCCACCCACGGATCCCAGCCTGCCACCCCAGGAGACTCAGCCTTTTCCACACACACTCTAACCTCGTCTGGCTTTCTTTCCCCTCACCCCAGGAGAGTTGGAGCTATACATCTTCCTGGGCCTATTTGGCTTCCTGGCTTTGCTCCTCTGCCTCTGTGGGACTACCTGGTTCTGCTGCAGTCACAGGTGAGTTCTCTTGAGAGAGCTGATTCTTACCCACAAGGCACTGCAGGTCCCAGGGTAGGTCAGTCTAAGTCCCTTCCAGCCTTTACAAGACCCAGGGCCCACATTTGGAAGTCCTAGCCCTCCACCTACTCTCCTTCAGCAGCCAGGTTGAGTAGGACAAAGGATGGAAAGCTGGGAGGGCACACCTGACTCAGCCTTCACCTACCCTCTTCTCCAGCAGGAAGAATCCCCTCTGGCCAAGTATACCAGACCCAGCCCACAGCAGCCTGGGCTCCTGGATGCCCAGCATCATGGCGGAGGTGAGTGTCCAGAGGGAGAAGGAAATGGGGCTAGGACTGTTGACCTGCACACGTAAGTAAAGGCTGCCCTTCTGAGTTGAGCACACAGGCCTTCGCATGGCCTCTAATGAGACCCTCTCTCCCCTCTTTGGAGTGATGCAGGCCTGGGTTTGACTCCCAGCTCCACCCATTTCAAAGCCTCAGGCACCTCACTGTGCAGTGGCAAGGTTACCTTGCTGAGACTGCACATCATTGCATGTGTCAGACACGTGTCAGGAACCTACGGGTGCTTTGCAAGTACACCCCTTTGTGTTGTACCACACACACACAATTGCTCTGACTCAGGAAGGGACAGTGTCTGGGGCAGACATCTGAAATGAACCATGCCCTCACTTCATGTCCTTATGTCCAGGAGACCTTCCAACTGCCCAGCCTTCAGGACCCCGGCATACCACCCATCACCAATATCACTGTGCTGGAGGAGAAGAAGCTGGGGTCCTGGGAGTACCGTGACAACTCGGAGACCTGTGGCCTCCCCACCCTAGTACAGACCTACGTGCTCCAGAGAGACCCAACAGTAGCTTCCGCCCAGCCTCAGCCCCAGTCTGGCACCAGTGACCAGGTCCTTTATGGGCAGGTGCTGGGCAGCCCCACCAGCCCAGGACCAGGACAGCACTACATCCGCTGTGACTCCACTCAGCCGCTCTTGGGGGGGCTCACCCCCAGCCCTAAGTCTTATGAGAATCTTTGGTTCCAGGCCAGCCCTCTGGAGACCTCTGTGCCCCTGCCCCCGAGCCAGGAGGATGACTGTGTCTTTGGGCCACTGCTTGATTTCCCACTCTTGCAAGGACTCCGAGTCCATGGAATGGAGGGATTAGGGACCTTCTAGGGCTGCCTGGGTCTCCCCACTTGGGCCTGACCTTTGAAGGGCCTGGACTATCCAGAGAACAGGATCAGTAAGCCCATCACTAAAAACTACCCAGCTCCAGAAAAAGCTGAAGGGCCCCCAGTAGCTCCCTAACCCTGGCTCATAGCATCTCTCCTTCACCCCAACCTCTATTTGCTGGGCCTCCCAGGCCACCTCTATACTTTAAGAACTAGATAATGATCCATCCCACTTGCTAGCCTTTTGTGTTGTTTCTTATAATTTTATTCTCCTAAATTGGTTTTTGACTTTGAGTTCTTATTGTTTTTAGAAACTCTTGCTGGGTATAGTGATGCACATCTGTAATCCCAATACTCAAGAGGCTGAGGCAGGAGGATCTTGGGTTCCAAGACAACCTGGGCAACATAGTGAGAACCTGTCTCAAAAAAAAAAATGAAAAAGAAAAACAAAAACAAATAAAAAACCTTCTTTGAGTATGCCTGAGTGTGTTCTTTTTCTTTTCAAGGCCCTAGCGGTCAGAGGTCTACTTCTCAGAATTGTTCATTTGTTGGTTTCTTCCTTCTTTCATTCATATAGCTCTCACCTAGGCCCTGCGCTGGCAGCAGGAATTCAAAAAGGGCAGCTCAGCCACTCTCCAAGAGCCCCATTCCGGTGTTCAAGACTTGAAGTTGATCATTAGGGCACAGTGGCAAGGCTTATATAGAGGGAGTCTTACCAAAGTATTGTGGAACATAGTGAAGAGATCTTGGAAAGGATTAACCCTGCTTGGGCATGATGGTGCATTCCTGTAATCCCAGCACCAGTGAGGCTGAGGCAGAAGGATCACGAGTGCAAGGCCACCCGGAGCTACATACTGAGACCTCGAATCAAAAAAATAAAAAAGACAAACCCTTACTGGGAAGCTCTAATTATAAACAAGACATCTGGGCTGGAGATATAGTTCAGTGGTTGAACATTTGCCTAGCATCTACACAGCTCTGGGTTTGATCCCCAACACCAGAAAGAAAAAAATCTGCTAACCCAGAAACCTTCTCTCCAAGGGTACAAGAACAAGAAAACAGTTTTATTGTTAAATAAGCATTAAGCCAGAATGTGATGTGCAAAGCAAGCAATTCACTACAGAGATTGCAAAGACCAAAGAAATGTCACTACCCTTTTATATAGCCAAGTGGATACAAGTCATTGCATACACTTTCTCGAGATAAAAATAAATAGCGCTCAAGTAAGAGGACCGGACAGCACCACATGGCTCATCTTAAACCCCCCTTAAGTGGAGTAGCCACCTCTGTTTGCTAATTGCTTTTATCCAAAGTAAAAAATTAATTTTTCATGTATTTATCACAGAAAGATTTGTAATTTGGAGTCAGGCATCAGCTGAAGTTGGGATCCTTCCAACTTCACAGAAACTGGGAGGGAGATAGGCACCATCAATATTAATGATTACATTTCAAAGAGACAGCCCCCAGGTTCTTGAGAAAAACATTCCTGGGTTTTGAAACTGATAAGGGGCTTATCTGGCTTATAAAAAGATTGCCACGTGTCTCAAAAGAATAGCGAAAGAATTCCTGATTACAAGTTTTCTAAAGTAAATGCTCTAAAAAAAGTGAGGGGATGTGAGTTCTTTTTTATTTCCTATTTTTAATTTCTATTTTCCTTTACACCTCTCATTTCACAAATATCACAGCTAATAGTTATAGACTGCTTACTATTTAACCGTGCGTTTTGCACACAGTTGCCTCAGTTAATCCTCTCAGAGACAGACACTGTTATTACCATCCTCATTTGATGGACGAGTGCACTGTGGCCCAGAAACGTAAAGTGACTTGCTCACAAGGTCGTATAGTCAAGAAATGGCTGGGAGCCGGCAGGTTAGGATTCCAGCCCAGTGAGCTTCCAAAATCAGCGTCCCTAGTCACCAGTCCTTAGCTACTTGGCAGAGAGGAGGCAGAAACCTAGCCGCCTCCCAGACTTCACGGAGGAGAGCGAAGGGAGGGAAGGTTACTGAGAACCCCCAGGGAAGCCCCGAAACAACTGGGACCCAAGTCTAGGAACATAGGGAAGGACTGAGGCGGGATGTCTGTCTCCCAGAAAACTGGCATCCTAGAGTTTCTTCAGCGCCGCACACCACTAACCACAGCGCCACGCCCCCAAGCCCCTGGCCAATCGCTAACGGTGTCCTGCCGGCCAATCCATTCTCTCGGTCTCGTCTGTGCCGGCTGCACACTGCCTCGATTGGTCGAGCCTGAACCATCATGGCGGCGCCCATGTAGCCCGTCCGTACCGGGAAAGGGACGGTGGCCTTGGCGCAGGCCCTGTGGGGGTCAGGAGTCACCATGCTTAGGGCCGCGTGGAGGGCGCTGAGTTCGATCCGGACCCAAGCAGGGGTCCAGGCCCCAGTCCTTGTGCTTCCTGGCGGAGGGAACGCCAGGCTGCCCTCGGCGCGGTGGGGCCTGCAGCCTCAGAGTGAGGAGCTGAGAAATGGGGCCGCGGGAACGGGCAAAGGGAGTTCGGCGGAGATGGAGGGACGGGGGGATCGGGATAGTGGAGAAAAACAGCGGCAGAAGAAGAGAGAAAGGGTGGTAGTTGAGAAAGAAGTAAGACAAATTGGAAGGGACGTGGGGCGGGAAGAAATGGGGCGACAGGCGCAGGGGCGCACAGACTTTGAAGGAAGGATAGTGCAGAGGAAATCAAAGCTGGATTATTTAAAGAAATGGGACTCAGCCCTCCCTGTTCTGCATAGGTCTTCTGCAGGCTGTCCGTGGATACGCCACCCAGAAACCAGGTAGGAGATCTTAGGATGGGACTTGGGGCAGAAGAGGGACCACCTGGAAGATTTGAGGTTGCGGCAAGCTAGAGCCACCTGATGAGGTGGCCAAAGGGATGGGCCAAGATCCTGAGCAGAAGGCTCCCACATCCACATTACATAGAGCCCTAAACCAGAGGCCTTCGTGGAGGAGGGAGGAATTCTTGGGGAAAGAGCAAGAGCTTTCAGAGTGGGTATGAGTGAAAATGAGCTAGCTAGAATGAGCCATCCAGGCTTTCCTAGAGTATAGCACTTTGTGTCTTTCCTTCTGAAAGGAAGAATGACCTCTCCCTCACTTCCAAGGGATGCACACACCAAAGCTGAGCTTTTTCTGTCATCTATACTTGGTGCATATGTTTCAAGCGTTCTAAGGCTAGCCATGCTCCCTCAACTCCTTATTTCATTCAGGCGACCAGCCAACAAGTGTCTGTTGCAAGCCTATTCTAGTCTAGGCCACGGTCAAACTGTGGGAAGTCAAACTCAGTCCTGTCCACAGGAGAATCCATCCTAGTAAGGAATCTGATAACCATAGAACCAAGCAGGTATGTGAGAGGTGTGGGGACAGTACATGTCAAGGAAAAGGCCATCCACTTCTAGCATGAAATATCAAGGCATTTGCCCACAGGGTTTGCAGAGAACTGGAGCCTAGAGCTTTCCAATGCCTTGCTTCAGACCGTGGATGTCTCTCACAGAGTTAGGGAGTGGGCAGTAAGAGCCAAGTCTGGGAGAATGAACAGTGAGAGTTGACTGGGTGTTTTCCATCCCTATATTTGCAGTCCAGCCCAACCAAGATGATGACCTGCCTCCTTCCATGCTGCTCAAAGACTACCAGAATGTCCCTGGAATTGACAAGTAAGCAGGAAGAAATGACTTGAGAAGGCAGGGGTTCTGGGAAGACTGATGTGGAGTAAGGAGTGGCTTCAAGACTTGGCCTGCTGTATTTGAAGCTTGATTATGTATGATGAGCAGATGAGCTGAAAGTTATAGAGACCCGTGTGTGGTGAACATGAGTGGGCAGCATGGGCACATGGTACTCATACAGCTCAACGACTTGAGTTTTATTTTTATGCTCTGGGTGAAGTTTTTGTTTTGTTTTTTTTTAACTGAACTGAGGTTTTGAACTCAGGGCCTCACTCTTGCTAAGCAGGTGCTCTACCACTTGAGCCACTCCACCTGCCTTTTTCTGGTTGGAATTTTTTGAGATAGGATCTCACAAACTATTTGCCCCAGCTTGTTTCAAACCATGATCCTCCTGATCGCTTCCTCCTGAGTAAGTAGGATTGCAGGCATGCGCCACTGGCTCCCAGATTGGGTAAAGATGTTGTACTAAGCAGATACCTAGATACCAAAAAGCTAATTTGCCTCATGGGTCTTTGTAGAAATCTCTCACCTATTGATCCTCACAAGAACCTTGTGAAAGAAGAAATAGTGTCCCTGTTTTACAGATTATTAAGCTCCCCCATATCATACCTGTCCTAAAGGGCAGAACTAGAGTTTGAATCTAGGACTAACAGACACCAAAGTCTTCCTGTGCAGCCCTGTGCTGCAGGTGGAAGCAGGACTGCCCCTCCAATCTTACCCTCTGTAAGTTTAGCTTGAAGTGTCTCAAGATTGAACCATGTTCCAGCTAAAATGAAAATCCTCCCTGTGATGAGACTAGAACACTCTGGCTGATATCCCCAGTTTTCTATAGTTATCACATCATTTTCTCAACCCAGTAAGCCAGAGCCATGCTGACTTTTAATCCCTGGAAAATGCCTTCCCACCTACAGAGAGTCTCATTTGTTGTAGAAGGCATTTTCGGCAATCCTTGCTTTTTAAACTAAAATGAAAACTGCAGTTCTTCCCCTTTCCCATCTACCCCCATGCTTGTCTCTCATTGCTGTGTCTTTTTCCAAAGGGTTGATGCTGTTGTGAAGAGACTCTTGTCTTTGGAAATGGCCAACCAGGTGAGTGCCCATGCCAAGCCTCAGCCTCGGCATCGCTCAATCCTCTCCCCTGGGACTCTCTCCCACCCTTGTTAGCACCCCATATCCCATGCTTCTCCAATCACAGCATTTACCCCACTGTCATTTTGTGCCCACTTGTCAGTATTCCTAGACTGGCAGGGATACTTTGGCTCCCCAGTTGTACCCCTAACATCTGACAAGTAGTGAGTACTCAATAAAGATGTGTGCTTGAATGAAAGAACAGACTTTGAGAGCATTCATCCAACAAACCATTGCTCTTATCGGTGGCCTCAATCTCAGGCTCACCCAGAAGTGAATAGCCATGTGGTTGGCCAAGGCCATGGTGAGAACAGTGAAGCCTTTGGGGCATGAGGGTCAGTTCTTAGGAGGTGACAGACCACACAGATTTTCTCATCTCTGTCTTTAACAGAAAGAGAAGCTAAAGGTCAAGCAAGAACTGATGATGAACAAGGTTGTGGCAAACCCCAAGGATACCAGATCGCTGGAGGCTCGAAGTTGGTCAAGGGCCCCTTGACGGGGTGGGAGGCAGGGGAGTCAGCTTGCTGGTACCTGAACAAGGGTTTTTGTCTACAAGCACACTTAGATGTGGCTTAAGAAAGGGAGAGACATGAAGAACCTGACTTTAGATCCCAGGTCCTGTGACTGTGGAGTCAGCAGCCAGGTCCTTCTCCATACCTCTGTGAACTTGGGCAAGTCACCCATCCTTTCTTTAACCTCTGCTTCCTAGTCTGCAAATGGAGGGAGTCTAGGGGCAGGACAGGGATACTGTGACAAACTGTGAGAAACTAGGTGATGTAAACACACCTTGGAAACTAAAGATCATGCTCTTGATAGAAACAATAAGACAGACACCTAGGAGCCCTTGAGTTCTGGTGGAGCATTTCTCGGGGCATAAAGTTCATACTTTGCTTGGGAACTGGCAGAAGTTCTCACTGGGTGTGAGTGGAAAGCCCCACCATCTGCCCCTTGCTTTGGGTGCAGTTTATCTTCACTGCCCTTGGGAGCAGTGAGGTAGCTTGGTGGACTTACACAGGTCTGCACATTTCTTCTCCTCCGCCATTGGCCTGATTTCAGCCTCTACTCCTCCTCCCACTTCCTGTCTTCATTCTTCTCTTCCCCCTCTACCAGAGATTAATAGCCTTTCGGTTTTTTTGACACAGGGTCTCACTGTGTAGCCCAGGCTGGCCTCAAACTTGAGATCCTCCTACCTCAGCCTCCCTAGTGCTGGGATTATAGGTGTGGGCCAATAGCCCTTTATTGCCCTTTCTGAGAAGATGAGTTTCAGGTTGCTTCAGCACCCCCTAAAACCCTGGCTGCCTGGGGACCCTCTCAACCACAAAAATGGCCACATTTTTCACCTTACCTATTTCTGCATTATCACTTCTGAAATCCCCCAGATTGGCAGAAACAGGTGTCCTTTGGCTAAGACACCAACAAGGTGATAACCTTGGTTATGTCTTTAACCATAAGCCTTGGTGCTGTCCTTTCAGCATTATTCCATTTTCTGAAGGCCAGTTGCTTCTCTGTCTGTTCTAGAGAAGCCCTTGGAAACTGAAGCCCATCTGCAGCTAAAGTGGTGTGAAGGGGCCATGTGGTCAAAGCCATGGTTCCCACTGCACTCAGCATGGGTATTGGGAAGGGCCTGCTGGAGTGACCATCTATCTTTGAGGCCAACTTCTGCTTATCCCCCATCTTTGCAACACAGGTGGAATCAAATAAGTGGAGACCTGAAGGACAAGTATTCCAGGGCCATGGGAGGCAAGTGGAAGCTGAGAATTATAAAACTCAGTAGTAAAAGCACAGAGATAAGGGTGGGAGCTGGAAGAGAAGAGGCAAGGAATAGACCCTGAACAGTTTTGGATCTTACTGCATTGCTGTGGCCTCTAATGTAGTATTAAGTCATTAACCATGATAGCATGCTAGTTTTATTCCTGAATTTAATGAGACTGTGCTAAAGTTTTACCATTAAGAATGCTATTTGCAACAAAAGGAAACAAAAAAAGAGTGCTATTTACTATGATTTTTGGATACCTTTATCAGATTAAGGAATTTCCCTTCTTTAGACTTTGTTTTCTAGAGCAAAGATAATCCAAAGTCTTTTGAAATCCTAAAATTCAAAGTGCCCTGAGATTTATAGAGAACTGTACAAGTGCATTGGTGATTGTTATTCCTTCGGTTCTTAAAACATAACGCAGACCTGGGCCCTTCCTTCCTCTGTGCCCAGCTCTCATCCTCTGTGGTTTGTGGTTTCAGTTGTTGCCTTGACCATCAAGATCCGCAATTATGAAGAACATATGCAGAAACATGGAAAGGTAAACCCAAGGCTTCACTCTTGCTAAACAGCAACAGCCTAAGAGGAGTCTGGGACTTCTGAGAAGCCAGTGCCTGTGATACCAGGGTGCCCACTCCTCAGTAGCAGTGAGAAAAACACTTCCCTCCTACCTCCACAGGAACCATGGGAGCCAATGATTAAGAACACAAACTTCAAGCATAGTCACTGTCTGACACGTACTGGGTGCTTAATAAATATTTGTTGACTGCATGTATGTAATCAGGTTGCCCTGTTCAAATCCCAGCCCTGCCACTTCCACTTAACTAGCTGTGTGACTGGGAAAGATCCAGGTCTGAGTATTAGTCTTTTGATCTGTAAGGTGGGAATCATAAGAGAACCTGCCCACAGGATTGCAAAGATCACATGAAATAATAACAGCAGCCAGCGTGATGCGTAGAAAGTCCTTAGGCTCTTGCTAAATCCTTTACCTGCATCATGTCCTGTAATCCTTATAACTCTTTCTTTCCCATCTTCCAGAGGAATAGTGTAGTCATGCAGTGATGGTTATTCCTCAAGGCACACTAGGGAGTGACGGCTCTACCACGTGAGCTCCCAGCCCCTTTTGCTTTAGATATTTTTCAAATAGTGTTTTGCCTTTTGCTCTGGGCCTGCCTGGACCGTATTCCTCATATTTGTACTTCACGTATAGGTGGAATGACAGGTGCATACAAACACACCCAGTTTTTTGTCAGTTGAGATGGGGTCTCAAAAATGTTTTTTCCTGGGCTGGACTCGAACCGTGATCATTCCAATGTGTACCTCCCAACTTGAAACTAGGTAGTCTTGCCACAGAGTCCACATTCTTTTTTCTTTCTTTTTCTTTTTTTCATGTGGTACTGGGGATCAAACCCAGAGCCTTGGACTTTCTAGGTGAGCACGCTTTACCACTTGAGCAGTATATACCCTCAGTCCTAAGGGCCCATATTCTTGACCATTGTGCCATATCTCAGCAAAGTATCTCACACAGAGCAGCTATATGAGGCAGAGGCAGTTATTTTCAGTAAACACATGGGTATGAACAGAGACTGGTCTAGCACCATGCCTGGCACCTAAGTGCTCCCATAACCTGGTGGGCCATGCTCCTTGGAGATTAGTTTTGTTTATTTGGGATATGAAACCCCAGGCCTACTGCAGGGTTCCTCCCAGAGCAGCATCCAGCACAGAGTTTAAGATCTTCCCTCTGCTCTCTACCCCAGCTGCCAGTTTGCTAAGCTGTGGAGAAACCAAGTGGATAGGGTAAGAGAGCATGACACTTGGAGTAGTAAACCCAAGACCACCTCGGCACCCACAGTTCTAAGAAGTGTTTGTGAATCAAATAACATCTTTGAACTTTTATTTTCTTGTCTATAAAATGTAAAGACCAATGAAACTACCTGCCTCCCTCAGAACTGCTCTAATATTTGCTTAAGATTTCAATGAAATAAAATAAACATCCTCTGTTACTATGAACAACAGTAACACTTATTTATAGAATACTAAAAATAATACAGACTCTCCTATAGGACAAAGCCCATAAGCGTTTTCTACTGATGAGCATTGACCAGAGGAAAAAGATGCTTAAAAACCTCCGTAAGACCAACTATGATGTCTTTGAGAAGACATGCAGGGAGCTGGATATTGAATACACCTTTCCCCCTCAGTACTACCGAAAAGCCCACCACCGCTTCCTGATCAAAAAAGCTCTATGCATTCAGGTATGCACTCTGGACTGGAGTGAAGGGAGGGACATCTTTTTTATTTATTTGGTTGGTTGGTTTTTGTGGTACTGGAGTCAGGGTCTGTGCTTGGTAAGCAGGTGCTCTACCACTTGAGCCACGCCCCAGCCATTTTTGCCTTAGTTATTTTTTTAATATTTTTATCCAGCCAGCCTGGGCCATGTTCTCATATTTATACTTTGTGTGAATGTAGAATGACAGGTGTGTACCACCCTGCCCAGCTTTTTGTGGTGGAGATAGGGTCTTGCAGACTTTTCTGGGCTGGCCTGAAACCATGATCATCCCAATTTCCACTTCCCAAGTAGCTAAAATTGCAGGCATGGGCCACCATGCCTGGCCAAAGGGATGCTGTTTCTGATATATGCCTGGAACTGGTCCAGGCCACCAAGAAAGGGGTTACCATGTGAGGGAGATAGTTCCCACCAATTTGCTCCATGTCTTTTGCTTACACAGTCTTTTTTTGCCCTCTTTCAATCCCCAGGTCTTCCAGGAGAAGCAAAAGCTGAAGAAGCAAAAAAGGGCCTTAAAGGCTGCAGCAGCAGCTGCAGCCCAAAAGGATGACAACCAGGGAAATACAGAGAGCCCTTCCAAAGCCTGACCAGAGGCACCCAAAGAAAATCAATAAAGTCCATTCAGATTATTTCTTCTTGAAGAATGATAGGAGAAATGATGGCATTTTTGACTCCAGGAAGAATTTATTCTTTCATTCAGCTCTGTAGTCTCACAGTTGTATGAGGCAGAATCTCTGCTGTCATCATCCCTCAGAGGACACAGTCCTATAAACAACAACCTGTCATCCAGGTAGCATGTGCTTCAGTGGAGGCAGGGGATGAGCACGGCCACACAGTAGAAGGGTGGCTGGCATGGTGGGTGGAAAGGCCAGCTGTAGGAGCTGCCTTCTAGATTGGGCCATAAAGAATAAGTAGGAGTTGGCTGAGGGAGGGACAGCATCCAGGCAGAATGAGTTGCAGGGACAGAGGTAAACAAGTCTTCAACACTGTCCTCTAGGGAGAGGAGAAGCAGTTAAAGTTTTACCACTATAGGAGTGATCCTAACAGCAGGTGTGTTTTAGATGGTTAAGCAGTAGCTATATGGAGGGGAGATGGAAGAGAAGATCAGAGTAGTGTATTAGGTGGGTTATTGGTGTTCACATTGAAAATCTAATAAAAGTGCCAGTCCTATTCCCAGGAAGTTGTACATACACAAAGTATTGCTTATACATTTTGAGGGGCATGTGTACTCCCTTCCCCATAAAACCCACCTGAGCACACTTAATGTTTGAAGAACCCAAGGAAAATGATGTGTCTAAACTGAGTGAGCAAAGAGAAAAGATGAGATCAGAAGGGTCATCAGACACCAGATGATATAGAGCCTTCTGGGGGTATCTTCTTTGGCTGTAGTAACAAAGTACCATAGATGAGGTGGTTTTAAACAAGAGAAATTGAGTTGGGACTGTGGCTCCATCAGCATTGCTAAAATAAACAAGAAATTTATCTTCTCACTTCTAGAAACTGAGGTCCAAGATTAAGGTGCTTGCTGATTCTGGTGAGAGCTCCCTTCCAGAGGCCATCCTCTCATGTATCTTCCATGGCCTTACCTTGGTGTGTGTAATGAAGGTCTCAATCTCTCTCTTTCTCACTAATCCCATGAAGAAGGCCCCACCCTCACGCAACCCCACTTACCTCCCAAAAGCCCCATCTTCAGATAAATGTAATATTGGAGTTACGGCTTCAGCATATGAAGAGGTGGGAGAAGTGGCACATTCAGCCCATACACTGGAGAAAAGGCTTTGGATTTCATTCTGAGAAGGAAATCAGAGAAGCCAAAAGGGGAGAAAGATGTGTTAAAGTGCTGTCCAAAGAGCAGTTGGAAATTTAGATCTCAGTAGGAACATCTGACCAGAGCTGTTTGGGAGAACTTTAAGGTAACTGAAGCTAGGGGCAGGGATGAAATTGCCCAGGAAGGGAGCATAGAAGAAAGGCCCTGTCTGGATAGGAAGGATGCTCCCTGAAGGTGCAGCTGAGTCAGAAAGAACAGTTGAGGTTGGGAAAAGAAATTAGGTTAAAAACAATGTAAGACCAGCTGAATCAGAAGTGAGGCAGAGGCTTAAACCGGTGAACTGTTAAGTATCTTCCAGGAATAGCAGGGAAGGCCTTTATGAGGCAGGCCTGAATGGACACCAACTTCAAGGTCTTCTGCTAGAAGGCAAAGTGCCAGCCTTTCAGTGGCTAACAAGTGAAGGAGAGAAAGCAACACTTGACAATTGGGTCCTGTAGCAAGCACATGGCAGCCTTAGGCACATTATCTTACCTAATTGTCAAAGCTACTTTTCTCCCCTCATTGGCTAATTAATTTTACCATGAGAGAATTGTGGCTCAAAGAGTTTAGGTGACCAAATGAATTTGTGTCCAAATTTTCACAGTGGTGGTTAAAGACAGCCTTTGTATTAAAATTCAGCTCTGTCTTAACTCCAAAGCCCATGTACTTACTGTCTGCTATACTACAGTGCCTAGGAACCAAAAAAAATATCTGATAAGCTAAGGGAAGAGTACAGCAAACTCAAATGTCTTTGGGAGCCAGGCATGTAATGTAAATGTGTGAAGACCTGACATAAGGTAATGATGCAGTTTATTACATTTCAGAGCGACAAGATAACCAAATACAAGACTTGAACCAACAACTCAGAGAAGCTGAGTGTATAGTCTTGAGTACAGAAAGTATTCATGGTGAAGCAGTTTTTGTGGGGTTAAGGTTGCTGAATCCCAGGTGCACTGAGGTGAGCTCAGATTGTGAGCATAGGTGATTTCAAAAAATTTGGCTGAGGGTTGGTGGAGTGGCTCAAGTGGTAATCGAGGACCTGAGTTCAAGCCCCCAGTACCGCCAAAAAATAAATAAAAATAAAATCTTGAATAAAAAATAAAAATAAAATCTTGGCTGGTAAGGAAAGGAAAACTGAGGACAGTGTGGGATGGAAGGAGAGTGTTGATTAATTGGGGAGGACTTTAGCTTGGCACCTGTCAAAGCGGGACCTTTCTGTGATAAGGTTATGAGGAAAAGGAGGTGGGCACACTGCCCACAAAGGGGGCAACTGTATGGAAGGTGTAGTGCAGCTAGCTCTGAAAAGGTAGGTGGAGGCTGAGCAGAGATCTTCTAATGCGCACCAAAGCGTCTAGACTGTGGTCCGCCAGCGGCAGGAAGCACTAAACGGATGTGTCATATTGAAAGTGGTGTCTTCTAAAATTTGGCTTAGCAGTCAGGAAAAAAAGAGGGCAGCAGGGTGGGGGAGGGAAAGGGCAGTGACATGGAATAAATGTGAGAGTTTGGCAGAAAAGAATTTGGTGAGTGATAATTAATGGGACTCTCAGATAGATTTGGGAGCCAAGACTCAAACTTCCAGCCTGCCTTAGCTGAAGGGGAAAGACGACTGGTAGGTTTTAGAAGTTCTGAAATCTACAGGAATCAAAGTAAAAACCGCACAGCCGATGGCCAGAGATCATGCTGGAGCTCAAGATGAAGGTGAAGAAGGTCACTCCCTAAAAGCAGAGAGGCGGCGGGAGGCCAGTCGGCCTTGCTTCACGGAGTTACAGGACCCAGTGGGGCGTCGCTTCGAGGACTTTGGGGAGGAGATGCAAGCGATTTCACCCCATCTAAAAGAAAGGCTAGTTATCATTTATCTAGTGCGTTCGTGGCGCTTTCCACGACCCGATTCCTCCGAGTCCTGTGAGTGGGCGTTGCCTCCATGTCACAGACAAGACGAGGTCCACGAACTTGCCCAAAGTCACACGGCTAAAAGATGGCGAGCCAGGAGTCCAGCCGAGGTCCGTCTGTCCAAGTCGGCTCTCCGACGCTTTGCTGAGGCTTTCCTCGTTCATAAGCCATGGGGCCAGACGATGAGGGGCGTCCGCACCGGAGCCCGAGCTCGAGTCTGGCTGTGCCCGCATACCGCCCCCAGGCCCGGCCGGTGCGACTCGAGGCTCGCGAGAGTGAACAAGGAGGCTTCAGAGACTCAAAACCACCGCTACCCCGAGGAGGCCGAGGTCCCTCCCGCGTCCCAACCCGACCAATCCCCTGAGGCGGTCCTTGCCACCTAGTCCAATGAGCGTCCGTCTTCTGGGTACCTCCCACCAAACCGCCCTCTGATTGGCTTTTCTCCGTCGCGGCGTTGCCCTAGCAACCAGGCTACTGGATGCGGTGGGGCCTCCAAGCCACCCGCTACAGAAGCTCCGGGGCGCTTCACCTGCACTGCAGGTTTCCCGCACCATGTCGGTGCGGACGTTACCGCTGCTCTTCTTGAACTTGGGCGGGGAGATGCTTTACGTCCTGGACCAGCGGCTGCGGGCCCAGAACATCCCGGGAGACAAGGCCCGCAAAGGTGAGAGGCGCCTTGCCGGCACAGCCTGACGTGCACCCCTCGGTCCCGCCCCTCGCTGCCGCCCTAGTATCTACAGCCAGACCCGTTTCCCGCAGCCAACGTCCCTCGCCTCCACCCTAACACTCAGCAGCCACACCACATCTCTGCGCGTTTCATTCTAATAACCAAAGGCCTTTCTCACAAGCCTCAGCTCCCTTGTAGTTGGAGCCCCCTCAGGATTCAGATTCTCCAAAAGATCTTTTTCCAGCAGAAGCACTTGACACCCCACATCTGCAAATGGGAGAGGTGATTTCCCGGTCTGTCTTGAAAACCGGCCCCTTCCAAAAGTGGAATCCCAGCCCCTTCCAAAAGTGGAATCCCACTTGCCGCCCACCACATACTTGGCCAGTGCTCGCACCTGCTTTTCAGCCGTGGAGTAGGTGCCGATTCTCCATTCCCGTATGTAGTATCCTTCCACATAAGCTGGAGACCAGTCTTGCTCAGTTCTAGCAATGTAGCGTTCCGAAATAATATAAATAAGAAAACATGTCTTTCCCTTTGCATGTGTTAGAGGGGAAAATATAAGAGGGCTTCTAAAATACAAAATCTGGTTCCCGTGTACACCATATATAATTCCCAGAGAAAGGACCCTCAAGTCACTCTGCCACTCTTTTCCTTTGCTCATGTTTCTTCCTTCTCAGCAAACAACTGCTTTCACTAAATTTCCTGGGATTAAGTATAAGGGAAATATACTTCAGGGTAGAGGAAAAGTTGATATGAAGACAATTGACACAGCCACCGACCAATTAAGACATTCATTCTCTCCAACAATCTCTGTATGTTCAATTGATATTAATCATATATATTCATATGTTAACTATTGTCTCTGTGGAATTGCGTCCAAATTCATGCATAAAGAGATAAAATAGGGTTGGGGCAGTGACTCAAGAGATACAGTGCCTGCCTAGAACACCAGAGGCCCTGAGTTCAAGCCCTAGTACTGCCAAAAAAGAGATGAGAGAGCTCCCTATAGCACATCCCCTCCATTCATTCTGCCCACTGCTGCCCGTGGGCTTTCTAAAATGCAGACCTATCCATACTCCCCTTTTAAAACCTTTGTCAGCCCCCCCACACACTGCCATTCAGGTGGAGGCTAAGTCCTTGTGCAGGACATCTTGGGAACCTTCCTGATAAGATCTTCCACCACTGCCTGCTTCCACTTTGTACCCTAATAATACAAAACAGTTTGTAGATCTGTAAACCATGTCCTGCGTGTCTCCATGTTTCTAATCCATCCCTCCATTCTTCCCCTTCCCTCCTACTTGTTCAGCTGAAGAATCATCTTCCCTCAAGAGGCCTCCCAATGGGCAAGCATTCATAGCACCCTGTGCTACAGCAGCACTCTATGCATGTGTCTCTCTACCTCATCACTTGGCTGTGTTATATTGAGATGTTCCGTGTGTGTCCTCCCCCATTTGACTGTTTTATTCATCTTTGTACTCCAGCACCTAGCATAATGCTTAGACCAGAATAAATCAGTGCTCAGGAAATGTTTGTTGAATTGATCATCCAAATTGGCAATTTTATGTGGCATTGTTATTTCTTCCTCAAGAGAATTGTGTTTTCTTTGGTGCCTATGTGATCTGATTTCATTCTGGCTAATGGCACCGGTGGGATGACAAGCCAGGGTTCTTTGCTGTAGTCTACATCTTGGAAGACAGTGTAAATTACTAATTAAGGGTATATTCTCTGGAGTCATACAGATCTGGGATCCAGTCCCATCTTTGCCACTTAACTAGTTGCATGACCTTAGGGTGTAACCTCTAAATATCTGTTTCTCCATAAAATGGTAATAATAGTGCATACCTGAGAGCAAAGTTTTAAATTTGAATGAGCTTGTGCATTTAACATGTTTAGCACAATGAATAATGGGCGCCATCTTTCTAGAGGAGGTCTCTGCAGACCCTGTGAATGAATGTGAGGGGATGGACTTTGTCTTTAAGAACTATAGACTTTAGTTTTATACAATTAATATACAGCAGTAAAAAAATTTTTGAAAAAAACTTAAAAGAGTTATAGTTCTTCTGGTTTTGCCATATTCAGTTTTAGGGAGTTTCGGCGATCTTTAGTAATTCATTTTCACACACTCATTCATTCCACAGTTTTGAACTAATGTCATACCATGTAAGATGCCTGAGTGAGTTCCACCCTCTGTGCATTGACTAGAGGTAGGGATATTGATCAGTCCAGTCCAATACCTGATCCTAAAACTGAGGACATATCTTCCTAATGACAAAAATAAATAAAACAATTTTAAAATGAAGCATTTACCATGTATCAAAGACTTGTCTTAAACACTTTAACAACTATCCTGTCACATAGGTAATGTTATTGTCCCCATTTTTCAGATGGGGAGACTAAAGCTGATTCACCCAGTGTTACAGAGCTGGTAAGAAAGAATTTTAAAACCCAGCGCCTCAAACTACAGAGCCCATACCTCTGACCAATGCCCTTAACTGCTGCACTGTACTCCCCTTCCTGGGGGGGACTGTACCAGAATCTTTGTGGGGTTCTGTAAGTCAAGAGGAGAGGGAGGGCTTTAAAAAACATATATCTAACAGACCCACTGATTTTGTAACAGAAATGACAGAAAGTAGTTGGCTGATGGGGATTTGTAGAAAATAGAGAAAGCAGGGTAGAAAGCATAGGATTCCGAATCTCTGAGAAATCCTTGTCTGTTCCACTGTTTAGAGTTGTTGTGGCTGTGGGAGCCAGCAGAAGCCAGAGCCACTGTGACAGATGCCTGCACTCAGGCCTATAAAACACCAGACATGGTAAACTAGTCCTAGTGGAAGCTTTGAATAGAAATCATATTTCTTCTAGATGTTTTTACTATCTTACATGACTAATTGATCTCCTGGAGGTATCCCTGTTCCCACAAGGCCCATGCAGATGTCGCAGTTTCCCCCTCAATGCTGCTGTAGTTTAGCATTCAACAGAAAGGAAGTGCGCTCTTTATGGGGCAACTTGTGAGTGTTGCATATTGGATGTCATCCCACATTTTAAGCAATATTGAGAATAAAAGCTACCTTTGCCTCACTCCTGTCCTCGTAAGAGCACTCACAAATAGACCCTATTACATTTTGCTTATTTTCCTCATTTTATAGGGAGAGGAAACTGGGGCATGGGCTTTTTCCAAAACATGGAGATCACAGTGTTGTACTGAGCAACAAATGGTGGTGCTGTTCTGTTTTTATTTTTCTAGTTCCAATTTCACAGCCAGTCCTGGATAGCCTTAGGCCTTCCTCCCACTCAAAATATAACTAAAGTGGAATGTCACAAACAAGCCATCTGGAGAAATAATAGAAAACGGCATGGCTACCTTGCCTGGCTCCTCAGGAGGCGATCATAGCACTCCAGTGCCCTCTGGTGGCACCAAGTTTCATTACCAGCTGGAGTGACCCCAACATGCACTTGCCAGTTCTGTTTTATCCCTGCAGTCACTGTCCCTGAGCGATGAGCCCCTTACTAAACTACTGTTCCCAAACACACCTGCGAGAGGATCAAAACTCTCCTTTTTCAAATTACTCCCAAGCCTATCACGCTAGACCACCTAGGAAATAAATTCCATAGAAAGATGAATAATGTGGACATCATGCCTAAACCACCAGTAACTGCTTTAAGAAGGCCAAACCTGGTGCTGCCTCCCAGTATGTTCTCTTCAAAATCCTGCGACTCTCAGCGGGGGATGGGGAGGTAGGGAGAGATAGGGAATGGGGAGGGTGTGACCCTGGGGTGTGCCAGCCAACTGTTCTCCTAGGTGCTGTTCCTATTGGACACTGAAGCCAGGCCAATGTGTAGTGAAGGCATGTATATGCTTTAACTGTAACTTCAGAAATCACCCTTGAGACAATATAAGGACAAGTGTTTCCCACAGAGACCATTAATTACAAACTGGCTTTTCAGAATAGAGTCTTCAATGAAACATTATTTTGTACAGTTAATATATGCTGATTTAAAAACTGATCTTATCTCATAGGAGCTGTTCATATTGTGTACTGAAGCCGTGCCAGTGTGTACTAAAGGCAACCAAATGGCAGTGAGGCTCTGTTTTTATTTTTCTAGTTCCAGTTTCACAGCCAGCCCTGGATAGCCTTGGGCCTACCTCCCACTTAAAATATAACTCAAGTGGAATTGCCACAAACAAGCCATCTGGAGAAAGAATAGAAAACAGGGATGAATGTGGATGTGCGTAGAGTTCTTTGTTTGGGGGTGGTTTTTCTAGATTGAAATCTCCCAAAAATTTAAGGAAAGAAAAAAGCCTTTGTTCATCCTTTCTTCTACTACAGAAAATGGAATTAGAAAAGAAGGCATCCAAGTATTGTGTGTCTGTTATCCACTTATTCCCACAATAACCCCATGAGTAGGCACTATTGTGACTCCCGTTTACCAGATGAGGAAACAGGTTAAACAAGTTGCCTGAATTTTCTATAGCTAGTAAGTGGTAGGCCAAATCTCAACCCATAAAGGGTCTTGATCCTCATAGATCTCTCTAGCCAAGTGCATTTTTCCTACTTTGGTCTCCTTTTGGCATCTCCCTGACTGTCACAGTACTCAGGAACTTTCTTTGCTGTGTCCCATCATTAGTTCCTTCTTTTACATGGAGTCATATATCTATATATAAAAAGGAAAGCTATAATAAATACTGACATGTTTTCCTTTTAATTCTCATTGCAAGCTTTCTCAGTTGAACATGTCCAGCTATTTTCTGGCAGGGAAATCTTAAATTAATAAAAAATTTAAACTGTACACCAAAAATCCCTCTTTTTTTTTTTTAATCTGTTCTAGGGGTTATTCCTCCTGGGAGGAGCTGCTATTTGAGTGTGTTCTTGTGATGTTGAGGAGCATGACTTCTAGAACCTTCTGAGATGAGCCCCAAGGTAGCTAGCTCTCCTGAGCTGCCTCTCATCCTAGGCTATTCTCATGAGACCTAGCCTTTCTTGGACTTTTTTGGAACTTGTTATTTATCCAGTTTTTAAAACAAACTTTAAAAGTTTCAAATGGAAAGCAAAGAATTCACATTAGACAGTAAATGAATTTTCATAAGCCAGATAATTACAATTGGTATTTGTACAGCCTCCCTGAAAATAATGTTCTTGCTTCATGAACTGGTGTTTTCTTTTTATATGCTTCATGTAGATGAATGGACAGAGGTGGACAGAAAACGAGGTATGCTATCTTGGGGCTGCATGTACTCAGTCTGCATCCACAGGTTCACCCATCCTTTATCGGGGGGCTTAAAATGGGACCACTGAAAATATTTCTAAGTGAGAAAGTAGGCATGGGTTTCTCTTTAGCTAAGATGTTCGGTGTATATTTGAATTTGAATTTTTTACTTTAAAGGAATGAACACATTATATAAGATAACTACTAAGCAAACTTTAGCAAAAGGGCCACACTGCACCTAAAGGACTTTTCTCCTCTTCTTAGTGCCAGGCTTTTCGGGGACAGCTGGGGCAGTAGCTCCATTCCTGGGTAGGTTGTCCCATTTGGTAGTCCTACAACAACTTGTTTATAGTAGTAACCAAAGAATCCCACTTCAACATGAGTGACCCTTCCCAAGATATTGAGCAACAGAGAATGATGGAAGCATGTGGCTGCATGTCTGCCAGGATTGTGGGCAGAAGGCATGATATCATGCATGCAAAATGACCTTATCTTGCTAAGTCTTTAGTTTCTCACCTACAACTGAAAAGGTGGTCAGTGGTTCAGAATAAAACCTTAGCCTTTCTCAGCCTTTACATGTCATATATACCTTCCATCATTTGGCACTCAGGTGTGCCTTATGCCTATCTCAGCCATCCTTGATATTTTAGATGCTCTTATCACTCTTGTCTCTTATACAGAAAGGTAACATACATAATACCTAAGAGCACAGGCATCAGAATGAAACAGACACTCTTAATTACAGCTCTGCCAGCAGCTGTATGACTTTGGATTTTAAACTCTTAAGACTCAATTTTCCTCCTCAGTAGAACAAAGTAATAACATAGACTCGGTGTTTAAATGAGATAATGCATGTAAAGTTCTAAACCTAGTACCTGGAACATGATAACTGTCCAGTAGGACTTCTTAGCTTCTCCCTTTCAACCTTGGCTCCATATTGCATGTTCCCATGAATGAGTGACTTTAGAGCAGAGGTAATTGGTAAAAATTCAATTGATTTCATCAAGATAATTATTTAATCAGACTAGGCTCAAAGAGAAGCCCAACCAAAGTGCTTTATACTCTTTTATTTTATTTCACAACCATATTTTGACACTTCTCTTGAACAATTTTTGGCCCATCCCTTGATACATGGCAGAATTTCACATGTGAATTGTGGATCTTGAGGGTTTCTCATCTATACATTTAATCAGTAAGTTAATGTAAGTGTTCAAAAGAAACAAGCAGAAACTGACTTCATCATCTGAGACCAAGACTAGAAGCCTGATGTGTTGAGAGCCCTTCCAATGCACTTGTGAAAAATCCCTTCCCTCCCCAGCCTTTGACACTTCCTAAAGAAATCTGGCTCCCAACACATTCCTGCCTCATGAGTGCCAAACCCTAACACCAAGGCAGATGAAGGGCCTGACTAAAACTACTGCTCAGGTTAGAATATGGGCTACCTCTCTAGAGCAAGGTATCATCTCCTTCCTCTGTGTCCCCATGGTTTTTACCTCAGTGAAGGGGTTCATAGCCAGCCTGCCTTACCCAACTGCTAGGTGAAACAAATGGTGAGAAGACAATATGTTGGCGGGAGCCTCCACACTGTCTGACGAATGAAATATGAGGTATGACCACCCTACCCCACCCCACCCCACCCAGGCGCCAGGGCCCAGCCATGGAACTTCCATTTGCTCTTTGAGAGTGTGTGTCTGCCCTGCTCTCCCCCAGGGGCAGATCCTGCTGTCCCCTATTTTCAGCTGGTGACGCTCCTGTAGGTCTGGGGATTGTTGCTGGAGTAGCTTACAATCAATTTAGGATTTTCTTCCTTTTAATTCCAATTTATGTGGGGTTAAGCTGTTTTCCTTGATCCTGACAAGGGCTCAAAGACTAAGAAATTACTCAACCCTTTGTAAGCTTTAACCCACTCACAGCAGAATGCCATAACTTGAATTCTTCCTCTTTTGCCTACAGAAATCTGTAGAAAACTTCCCATTGTCTCTTCTGAGAACATATGTGTGGCTTTTCACTTGTACCTGTTTCTCTGCAAACTCCACATTTTATATATAGGCTGTGGTAAGAAAAATATTAGAAAACCCAGTTTATTACAGGTCTTTGCTTGTTTTGGTCAAAGAAAAAAGGTCAAGCCTGAAGCAAACCAGGAAGGGTTCCTACATCTCCAAGCTGTCTACATGGGGGAAGTGTTAGTGTAAGTTAGGAGCAACCTGTGCCATCAGGTGTGAGGGATGCCCATGTTGTAATAAATCTACTTCTTCCTTTCTGAGTAATAATGGAGTCTAGAGTAAAATCCAAAGGTCAAGGGTGAGTTCAACACTTCTATAAGGAGTCAGTCAGTTCTTTAGGTCAGTGTGGGGGGGAAAATGTGTCCCCTTTCCCCTCTCTCTTAAGCTATTTTATTTAAGATTTAAAGTACATCCAGCCCTCAGCTTCCCTTTCCCCCATAAAATGCTTTACAAGGCTGTTCCTAGCCCCTCAGGGTATTTCTGTCGATCACTTACAGGTGGAGATTGCCTGAAATAATAACCTCCCTGCTCTACTTTGCCTTCACTCTCTAAAGACACATGGACACAGTCGATCACCTGACATCCTTTGTGTTGAGCAAAAGAAGGAGGAGTTTATACCTTTCAGAAGTAATCACTCATGTTAAATAACTGATTTTACATAATTATTTTAAGTAACTGAGTTTTCTTTCAAATTTTAATTACTATAAATGACATTCATATACTCTCATCTTTACACCCGAGTAACTGGCTTAATTAAGAATAATCTATGGGCAACATACCTGTTCCACCTGTTCCTATTTCTCATCTCAGAGGATCTTCCTGACCCTTTACTAGTGATATTTAGTTGTGCAGTGAAAAATATCTAAATTAATGAAGACCTGAAATTAAATGCACATTAGTTTGCAAACTCCTTTTATTATCACCAGATAGAAATTTTCATTGGAACAACAGTATGAGGGCTGGTGGAGTGGCTCAAGGAGTAGAACAACAGTATAAGTACTACAATGTAAAATCAGTATTATAGATCAAATGTAGAAACTAAGGCATACTAAAATAGTGCTATCTGAAGTACAGATCTTGTAGATAGATTTTAAATGTTTTAATCTCTACCCAGTGGGTAGCCATGATTATGTTCATAAAATGTTTCTCAAAAAAGTCAACTACCATTATTTGTCCCATTGTTAGGAAATTTGATTTTAAGTAAAAATGTTTACATTTGCTTTTTTAAATGTGTGTGCTGTTTCTCATTTTAAGGAAAAGCCCAAATTTAAAATGTTTATGGGAATCTTTAAAAAAAAAAAAAAAGATAGATTTCCCTTATCATCAAGGAAGATAATGTTTGTGAAATTGGTCTATAACCTCTAAAGCAAAATCCTTTTGGACATTGTCATCATGGATGTTTGCCCTGAAATTGTGTCACAAAGCTTTCCCAAGTCCTGCTTCCTATAGGGACATCTGTGTGGTTTCTCCCCAAGGAGCCAATTCACCAAGCACGGTGTCCCCACTCTGTCTGTGCCCAGCTCCCCCCTTCATACCCAGCAAGCATTTCTGAATAAGGCTTCCTCCAGCACCTTCTTTCCGTAACTGGACTCTCTTTTGTCTCTACAGTTCTGAATGACATCATTTCCACCATGTTCAATAGAAAGTTTATGGAGGAATTGTTTAAACCCCAAGAACTGTACTCCAAGAAGGCCCTGAGGACTGTTTACGACCGCCTGGCTCATGCCTCCATTATGAGGCTGAACCAGGCCAGCATGGATAAGGTGAGCAGACAGCAGCTTGGTCATCTACCTGCATTTCCCTACCTTTTTGGATGATCCTAGATTGGGGTCAAATGAGATAATGTATGTAATGGTGCCTTGTAGGAAGCAAGTCCTTGTAAATATTAGCAGTAGTTGTTCAGTTTTAGAGTTGGGAGGGACCTCAGACATCATCCACACCAACCTCTCTATTGCTTATGTCATTCCACCTGCCCAAAGAGAGTACTGCTGTTCATGCCTACCTGTGAGCCCTGGAACATATGGCACCCCAATACAAGCGCTCAGCCCCCAAAATTTTAATCCTAGGGGGAAAGGAGAGAGAAGGAAGGGAAAGGAAGGGCAGTTGGGAGGGTGGATATGATCAGAGCATGATGTATGCATATATGGAAATGTCACAGTGAAACCCATTAATATGTACACTTAATATACATTAATAATTACAATTTTTTAAGTAAAAAAAACTTGAATTCTACCACAATCATAGCAAATCTCAGCTCTGCAAATTCTAAAATGTTCAGTCTTGAGTTATAATGTGAACATATCTGTTTCTTTGGGAAACAAATTACTGGTATACTTTGATTTTTAAAAGAACAATTCCACACAAATAAGTGGCAGAAGATAGATAAATCTGTACAGAAGAATTCTGACTAATTTACGTAGATATTCTACCCTCAGGAAGGGAGAGTATAACTCCCCCTTGTTGAGGACAGGCACTTTGTGACCTTCTTCCAAAGTATATGGTATGGAAAAGAGGGAGAAAACAGTTTCGCAGTGCAGAAACCTGACAGACTACCTCAACCAAGTGGTCAAACATCACAGAGACATTAATGAGGCATGTTGATAGTATGTACCCTGGATGTGATGTCTTCCTGCCCAAAACCCATATCCATAGTCTAAGCATGAGAAAAACGTCAAATAGCATTGTTATGCTATCAAATACCTGAGCAGTACTCAGAACTAGCAAGATCACCAAAATCAAGGAAAGTTAGAGAACAGTCACTGTCAGGAGGTGCCCAGGAAGACATGAGGACTGGATGAGTTCCTGGAACACAAATAGGATATTGGGGGGAAACTAATGAAATCCTAATAAAATATAGACTTTAGTCAGTTCAGAAAATAATGATTTCTTTTCAAGTGGTTCCATTATGTGATTTTTTTTTAGGTCATGAGGAGTGACAATAGGTAGCAAGCGTGTGACATCAACACTTGCTTATGACTGGTACCCAGAAGCCTCAGGGAGACAGACTACCTTTAACTATGCCCTCTTAACCTCCTGCCATTTCCCTTTGGAAAGTTACTTTTCTCCCTGGCTTCACTTTCTCATTTACGTGGGAGAAACCCCCTGGTTGGGCATCATGGCCATCCTCAGACCTCTCATGAAGCCCAAGATTGTCAAAAAGAGGACCAAGAATTTCAAGTGGCACCAGTCAGCCCAATATGTCACAATCAAGCACAATTGGTGGAAACCCAGAGGTACTGACAGCAGGGTATGAAGAAGATTGAAGGCCCAGATCATTTTGTTCTTGTTTTGATTTTGTGATGCTGGAGACTGAAGCCTGAGCACCACACATGCTAGGCAAGCACTCTACCACTGAGCTATACCCCCAACCCAAAGGCCCAGATCATTGGTTATGGGAGCAACAGGAAAACAAAGCACTTGCTGCTCAGTATTATTTCATATTTGTCCCATTGGAAATCCTGGTTTTCTCAGGATTTACTCATTTACTCCTGTTATCCTGGCTTAATTACTAAAATCACCCCCTCATGCTTTCAGAAGTGCCTCACCACACTCATCTGAGCTGTGTGGTGAGCCCAGAGCTGGTTTTCAGCAAATGCTTGACTAAATCGTTGCTGGCAGTTCTGACATCTGCTTTTATGACCCTGTTTATTTTGTTTGTGTGTGGGTTGACAGCTGTATGACCTGATGACCATGGCTTTCAAATATCAAGTATTGCTGTGTCCCCGTCCCAAGGATGTGCTGCTGGTCACTTTCAATCATTTAGATGCCATCAAGGGATTCATTCAGGACTCCCCAACCATCTTGCATCAAGTGGATGAGACTTTCCGGCAGCTGACAGAAGTAAGAGTGTCACCAGTTTATTGCTTCTCAGCCCCCCCCTGCTGTAAGAGCAGGTGGGTTCTATGACTGGGCGAACAGGGTAAGCAGTGGCAAATCCTGCCACTCTTCCAGAACATTCTAAAACCATACAAATATCCATTTTGCTAATGCAATGGTCATTGTCATCTTATGCCCTCTATTGTTGCCTTCCTAACTGGGAAAGCAGTGATATAGAGTATTACCTTTTTCTTCTGACTTCTCTACAAGGGCGTTGGCAGTGGATGTCTGCTAAATCTTGGGGAACTGCCTCTTTGTGGAAAGTGGGAGAGGTGAATTGCACCCCAAGTGCTGAGGCATAACAGGGTCTGTCCTGTTGGGAAGGGGGGCACTGTCACTCCTGCTACCCCTCTCCTTGCTTACCCAGCTTCTACCCTGCCTGCCCACACTGCTGTCTTCCTGGTGAAAATGAAGTGTTTTGTTCTGCCTTGCCTTTGGCAGATATATGGGGCTCTCTCTGCTGGGGAGTTCCAGCTGATCAGGCAGACGCTCCTCATCTTCTTCCAAGACCTGCATATCCGAGTAAGTGAGTGGGCAGCCACAAATGCCCTCTTGTCCCCTCTTCCCCCCTACAGCTGCTGCCCTGAGGACACACGAGTTACCAGGACAAATAAGGGTCAAGATTTTGCCTAGTTAATGATGCCTGTCAGGGTTTGAATACATGATGGTAAGCATTTTCATAATAAAATGTCAGCAGTTTTTAAATAGATCACAGGAGACAATAATGCCCACCCATCCTTTTCAGTTACACATTGAGCTTCATTCCTTGCTTCTGCAGTGGAAATGTGCTCTCAAGGCTCCAGCCTGATCTCCATTCCAAACCTCTTCTCGAGCCTATCATCCTTGACTTCCCCAGCATCAGATACTGTCAGGAGACTGCCCTTCCGATCCATGAGACTCTCACCTTCCCTGGACTTTCATGCTCCATCCTATCCTGGCCTTCCATTCCCCCCCTCATTGCAATGCCTCTCACTCCTTCCTCTCCTACCTGTTCCCAGGCCTTCCTCCTCCTGCCCGACCCACCTTCTGCTCTTCAAGGATCTCTTTCCTCCTGCTTTGGCCACTAACTCCTTTGCCTATGACACCCAAGTCTAACCTCTACTCTATCTTGCCCTCCCCTGCCCCCAGACTCACAGCCCTACCTGTTTGCTGAAACGCTCCATGAAGATGCCCACAGGGGCCTAGATCTCTGTGTCTGAACTGATCTCCACAATTCAAGTGCTGCCCCACTTTTTGGTTTCTTTGGAAGCACTGCCTGTCACCCACTCACTCGGCCTAGAATCAGTGCCATCTTTGATTCCCTAATCTTTGTCAATTGCTTCTAAGGTTCAGAATCTGCCCTTTCCATAGCCATGCCCTCCTCTTCATTCCTTCCTGCTACCTCCAGCCTAGCTTGGTATACTTATTCCCCGCCCCCCCACCTTGGAAATGGGGCTTAAATTTAGGGCCTGCACATGCTAGGCAAAACCCTTTACCACTGAGCCACACACACCCCCAGCCTAGGTTCACATACTTCTCTCCTACCTTTGCCTTCTGAATGTTCCTCCCTCCTCTGCCATGCCTATTCCGAACAGTTCTATACCCTAACTTTCAAAAGCACATCTCTGAGCTGGGCACTCATGGCTCACACCTGTAATCCTAGCTATTTGGAAGGCTGAGATCAGAAGGATAACAGTTCGAGGCCTGCCGAGCAAATAGTTTATTAGACCCCTTCTCCAAAATAACCAGAACAAAATGGATTGGAGGTATGACTCAATGATAGAGTACCTGCTTCATAAGCATAAAGCCTTGGGTTCAAACCCTAGTCTCACAAAAAAAAAAAAAAAAAAAA